AGGAAAGACTGTTCTGAGCAGCTGCCTCATGGTATAACTCGGAGAAAACCTTTGGCTGTCCTGGCCTGGCTTAACTCTCTGCTCCAGGCTTCAGGAGCACACAGAAGTAATCTTATCTCAGCTCCCCGGCCTTCCGCTCTCCTAAGTTCTGCTGACCTCTACATAGCCTCTTGGCCATCATACAAATGATAATCAGCACTCCTCCACTGTGAGGACCAGAACAGCTAGGTCTCCACCTCTGTGAGGACCAGCACAGCCAGGTCTCCACCACTGTGAGGACCACATAGCCAGGTCTCCACAACCTTGAGGGCCAGAGCCTGTTGGCTGCAGCCATTTATGACATGCTAGGTTTTCTGAGCGGCACTGGACTCTGACTGCTCAGGTCAGTCTAGGAGATGGGCTGACTAGAACCTTACTTTTCACATGAGGAGGTGGAGGCTCTAAATAGTTCAGTGCACGTTCCCTGAGGTTCATTTATGGAAGACAGAGTCAGGCAGTGATTCTCACCCATGATGCTCAGCTGCCTGGCACTAGAGATGAAGTTTCCATTGACCAAGACTCCTCGTAAAGACTTGAAAACCCAAAAGAGAGCACGGTGTCACTTTTATTTCATTTTTGGATTAAAAATGCTTTTTGCATATTTATTTATTCTCCAGCTGGTTCATATTATTTGTGTTTTTTAAACCCTTTCCTACTTTTCCGAGATTTAAATATAATTACAACATTTTCCTCTCCCTTTTCCTCCCTCCAAACCTTCCCGTGTATCCCCTTCCTCCCTTTCAAGTTTATGGTCTATTCTGCTTTAATTGCTGTTAAACATATGTATGTATGTATATTGTTACATACATAAATACAAGCTTCTCAGTCTGTAAAGGTCACGTGTAGGTGTCTGCTCTCAGGGCTAAGAGTTTGGAACTAGGCGACCCTGTTGTATGCTCTTCCCCAGGAAAGGACATTTCTTCTGCTGTCAGTATTCCTTAGCCATCTGTAGTTCATTGGAATAGTTGGATTTTGTTTTTGAAACAGGGTCTTTCTTTATAGATCAGGTCAGTCTGGGACTTAGTATGTGGCCAAAGACTGTCCTGGAGCTCAAAGCAATCCTCCTGCCTCAGCTCAGGTCACAGGTTATGCCACCATATCCAACTTATTTTTTAAAACAGACTTCCAGAGCCATTGCCTAGACTCAGCGCTGTGCAAGCACTTCACTGACCTATTCAACCTCTTTCTTAAGCCCATTCTGCAGATCTGGGAACTTCCACTGAGAAGCACCCACCTCCTACCCCATACACCCACACAGGCAGTGGGGAAGGGCAGGTTAGCACCTGGTCTCCATGTTACACTCCCTCACAAATGAGCGTAGTGGGTGGTCCCTCACAAACTGTGCCTTTATAATTCGCTGGCCAGCTGGGCCAGCAAGATGGCTTAATGGGCAAGGGCAATCGCTGTGCAAGCCTGGTGACCTGAATTCAATCCCAGGAACCCGTGTAAAGGTGGAAGGGAGAACTGGCTCTACAAAGTGTTCCCCTGACCTCCACATGCATGGTATGGTGCACATGACACCACACACATGTGCAAACACACATACAGAAATATTAAACAAAAGAATTCAGTGGTCAAGCCAAAGGAGCCTTTTTAACTAGGAGAGACCATTCTGCAGGGTTATTGCAGGCATGCCCAGATCAGGCAGGGACAGTAGTAGAAGGGAGCACACTCTGTTCTAATGGCCTGCCTATGTCTCGAGGATGGGACATGAGGATTTGGCTCAAATGGCCTGCGTGTGTCTCGAGAATGGGACATGAGAATTTTGCTTCTATAGGGAGAAGTCAAGAAGGCCAGGAAGAACTGGGCATTTGGGGTGTAGGGAGACCAGGAACATCTGGATCAGGCTGATGGGACCCCTGAGGTCAGCCCAGCCTGAGGAGGTGCTGTGAGGAAGGGGTGACTGGGTGGCTCAGATAGAGGGTGCTTCAAGACCCAGACAAAGGACAGAACCTTTCACCAAAATTAAATCTATTTTGCTGCAGTGTGTCTGTGGTGCAAGAAGGTCAGCTGATCAATCATGGGGCAAAAAAAAAAAAGGGATTTGGAGGCCCTAGGTCTGACTTTATCCAGCAAAGGAGGCATTTATAAGTCTCATCTGGTTCCTATGAGGAGTGGGGTTCCTTATTTTTAGAAGAGGGACTATTAGGGTGCCATTATTTGCTTTTTGTTGCTATGATAAAACAATGACAAAAGCAATATGGAGAGGAAAATGTTTACCTGGCTTATACTTCCGGGTCACAGCCCATCATGAAGGGAAGTCAGGGCAGGAACATGGAGCAGGAGCTGATGCAGAGACCATGGAGGGGTGCTGCTTACTGGCTTACTCTTCATGGCTCGCTCAGCCTGCTTTCCTGTTCAACCCAGGATCATCTGCACAGGGGTGTCACTACCCACAGTAGTCTGGACCCTCCCACATCATGGAGAAAATACACCACAGATATGCTCGTGGGCCAGTCTGATGGAGGAAATTTCCAAGCTGAGATTCACTCTTCCTAGCCTCCACTTTCTGGATAGGCATTAGACCATTGAGCTGTCTCCTCAACCCTCTTTTCAATATTTTGTTTTGCAGTAGGGTCTCACTGAGTTACCCAGGCATGCCTTGAATTTGCAATCCTCCTGTCTCAGCCTTCTAAGAAACAAGAATAACAAATCTGTACCACCGTGCTGGCTATAAGGGGAATCACAGTAGTAAGTCACTTCCCAGAACAGAAGGGGCAGGGGGATTTCTTCACCCTGGCTAGTTTCCAGAGTCCCAGCCCTTAAGAAGAGTTCATCATGGCCTCTTCTCATTTTCTAACTCATTCCTACACAGTACCAGGCTCTCCTTGGGACTTTTCTGGGCCTAGGTAGATCCTAAGTTTATGTTCCAAAGTACTGCCTATGAAGATGCCTTCAAAGTCATTCTCTACCCTGAGAAAGTGTGGCCAAGGTCAACACCTCACACCCCTTTACCTGGCTTCTGTTACATTGTTGTCAAGGTTCATCCATGTTGCTAGCTTGTGTTCCATTTTTATTCATAAATAATATTCCTTCTTATGTATAGACCACCTCTGATTACCCATTCCTTAGCTGGTGGGCATTTGGTCAGTTTCCTTTTCTTGGCTACCATGAACAATGCCTCTATGGATGTCCATGTGTACTCTATGCATTCATTTTTCTTAAGTCTACACCTGGGAGTGGAATTGTCCATCATACCTGTGATCTCAGTACTTAGGAGGCTGAGGCAGGAGGATTGTCATGAATTTGAGACCAGCTATCCTGACTCACCTGAGCTACAGTGTGAGACCCTGTCTTTAAAAAAATTAAAAATTAAAAAAGGACCAATAAATGTCTTTTTCACCTGTCTCTGTAGTCCAGGGAGCAGCAGGTACCCTGGCTGGGTGAGGGCTGGTGCTACACAGAACCAGGCCATGCCTGACTCTTTGATGGCAGAATGGCACGCTTTCTGAGCAGGGAGCATACTGGTGGTCCAATATCAATGCAGGTCTTTGGGAGAAACCAAGGCCATTAAGACCTGAAGCCCCCAAATATCCAGCTGTGCTAATGGAAGCAGCAGCATGAAGTGTGATGTACTATAAAATAGACCCCCCACCCCCACCCTGTGAAACACCTGCTTTCCCTGCAATCTGCTTCTAACGTAGTTATTCTCAGGGTAATTCATATCCTTCCTTGTAGGGTACAAGTGTGAAGTCTGTCTGGGATGGTTGCCTGACCAGAGCCACCATCCACTGATAAGCAAGAACCCTCAAGGCTTACAGGAAGATTACAAGACACAGCTAGAGGAAAACGATTCTTACTGCCCCAATGGATAAACATGTTAACCACTAGGCATTTCCCATGACATGGCCCAGAGGCTGATTTTATGATCATGGTGTCTTCAACTTTAAAATGTCAGTCTTATTTATTTACTTATTTGTTTGTTTGTTTATTTATTTATTTATTTATTTATTTATTTATTTATTTATTTATTTATTTATTTATTTATTTATTTATTTATTTATGTGTTACATTTGTGGGTACAAGGCCATTTTTTTTGAGGGTCGATAATATTCTCCCAACTAAGCTGTATGAGCTCTTGTGTGAAATTCTGAGAGAAGCGACGTTTTACACCTTGACATGAGAATCAAAGAGAAATGAGCTCAAAGCTTCCTGCAGCGTCCTCTGTCGCCTCTCGGGCAGTGTTAGCAGACCCTGGGCGTACTGCCCTCTCTCTTTGCAGCCTTTCCCATACTTGCCGAGCCAGCCGAGCTCCACTGTAACCAGCAAAGCCTTCAGACAAAGCAGTCACGCAAGAAAAGCAAGTAATGTCTTGTAGCAAAGATGGAAAACACGTGCAAGACAGGTGTGGTGGTGATCCGTTCCCTTAATCTCAGCATTTGGGAGGCTGAGGCAGGAGGATTGCCATGAGCTCAAGGCCAGTTTCTGGGCTACAGAAGGAGATCAAGGCCAGCTTGGGCTGCATGCTGAGACTCTGTATCAAAAAATTAGACAAAGAGAGGGAGACAGACAGAGAGAGGGAGACACACAGAGAGACACAGAGAGAGATACAGAGAGAGACAGAAAGATACACATACACACACATACACACACACACACACACACACACACACACACACACACACACACACACGGGGGAGGGGGTTGGAGAGACTTACCACACACTGTTATGGTTTGCCTGCCACATTCTTTTTTTCATCAGTTACCCCTGGACCACCATCCTCCAGCCTTTCCTTTTCCATGTATGCTCAACTGAATACTTACCAGCACCCCTTCTTTTACATAGAGTAAGTTGTCTGTCTTGACTTCCCAAGCTGTTCTCTAACTTAGCCAAACCAAGAAGCTTCCCAGGCTCTTTCTTTCCAGGGAGCAGAGACTACCACAAACATCGTGTGATGTTCAATTCAATCTCTCCGATTGCATTGGTCTGAGCTAACCTTGTGTTGTCTTGACTCTTGCAGGTGCTGATTCCGGTTTCGGTCATGCATTATCCAAGAACCTGGACAAGCTGGGCTTCACAGTGTTTGCCGGAGTGCTGGATGCCAAAGGCTCGGGAGCGGAGGAATTGAGAAGAACTTGTTCGGAGCGCCTCTCTGTGCTCCAGATGGACGTCACTAAGCTAGAGCAGATCAAAGATGCTCACAGCAAAGTCATAGAGAAGACAAAAGACAAAGGTACTAACATCCTTGACTCTTCCTCTCCCTACTCACCAACACCCACCTCTTGTCACTGCCTTTGATGACCACAGCTGCTGAGAGACCCTGTCCTCCGGTATGGTCAGCAGGAGTGTGTGCGTGTGCGTGTGTGCGTGTGTATGTGTTTATATAGGCCAGAAGACAACCTTGGCTGTTATTTCAAATGTACCACCCATCTTGTCTTTTGAGACAGGGTCTCTTAGAAGCCTGGAGGTCACCAGTTAGGAAAAGCTGGCTGGCCAGTGAAGCCGAGGGATCCGCTGGTCTCCCCACTGCTGGGATGACAAGTGCCTGTCACTGTGACAGGCTTTGTAAGATGTGCATTCTGGGGGATCGAACTCAGGTCCTCACGCTTGCTAGGCAAGCACTTTACCCACTGAGCCATCGCCCCAGCCCCTCTTTCAGGGTACTCTACCACCTTCCTCCCTTGTCCTCCTGGTCACTCTAATCACTCTCCTGTCCCCTGCTCTTGGTCTTTCTCCGGTAATATCAGCATGCATTGGTCTTTCCCAGCTTGACAAACAGCCCCAGGACCATGTGCCTCCCTGAGGCTCTGCCTTTTCTCTCTTTCATGGGTGGCCAGGTCTCCATTTGCCTTCATTGCTTCATGCCTGATCACATGAGTGTTGGTTCTCACCACACCTCCTTACCTGCTCTGGCCAAAGCTACCACTGTCATCTTGAAGTCCAAAGACCTTCTCTTCTCCATACTGCTTTAAGAGGACATTCTTTGCTAGACTGGTAGTCCCCAGCCTCCCCTTTGCTCCTCGGTCCTCTGGTTGTTCTCTCTGCTCCCTGGATAGGTCTCTTCCTCCATCGACTCTGCATCTTCCCATTTGGATCCATCTGTGGCTTTCCACTCCCCACTCTTGGGTCAGACCACGCTATCCTGATGCCAAGGGTTCTCTGTCCCCTGCACATTGGAGGAGGGCTTAGAAATACCCATGCTTGTCCCCAGAGTGGGGTCCATACCCTGTGGAACCCAATGTGAGATGAAAGAGAGAGCCCCCTCATTGAGGAACTGATTCAGAAATTTAAGATGGTGACATTGGGGCATTAAACATATGTGGGTCCCTTCTGAACTCCCAGTCTCATGGTGGCGATGTCTGAGTGTCTTCAGCCCAAAGTTCAATTGTTGTGGTTTACTTAAGGAGAGACTCAGGCACCAACAGAGAGAGGGGGCGGGTGGGGAGTGAGTTTGTGCATGCACAGGTCAGAGGTCAATCAATGTCAGGTGCCATCTGTCACTTTCCATCTTGGGTTTTTGACGTGGAGCTTGCTATTTTGGCCAGTCTGGTTGGGCAGCAGTCCCCTGGGATCCATCCGTCCCCCTCATCTCCTAGTGCTGGCATTACAGCACACTTTATGTGAGGCTGGAGGTCCTCGTGCTTCTGCACTGAGCACCTTACCCAACATGCCATCTCCCAGCCCCATCAGCAGTTTTCACCTTTTAAAGCTCCCTCGGTGATGTTAATGTTTGGTCAGGGTTGAAAAACTAATTTACACTAATGCCCTCCAAAGCTGTGCAGCCCACCTGGCTATGCGTCCTCACATCTGCACCCAAACACACAAAATTATCTTCCAAACATTTCCACTCGTGTCCCAGAGGTTCAACCTCACTGTCTTCAGAGCTGCCCTTGTTATCTTTTCCCTAACGCCAGCCTGAAAATCGACTTGCTTGCCTGCATACCCAGTCGTTTGAGCCAGTGGTCTGGGCACCCCAATGGCCTCCCTGCTGCCTGTCTAGGCACCCCAGTGGCCTCCCTGCTGCCTGTCTGGGAAGTCCAATGGCCTCCCTGATGCCTGTCTGGGCACCCCAGTGGCCTTTCTACTGCCTGTCTGGATACCCCCAATGGCCTCCCCACTGCCTGTCTGGGCACCCCAATGGCCTCCCTACTGCCTGTATGGGCACCCCAGTGGCCTTCTCCCACCTATACTTCCCCATTACTTTCCAATGGAACCTAGTCTTCCTAACACGCATCTCTTATGGTTTCACATGCTCTCTAGAACCTCTGGAATATGGAGTCTCTGTGGTAAGTCACTTTGTGGCTGTGATTTGCTTTGCACATGGCTCATTGTCTGGCCCTGTGTTTCCCCTTCTGCCCACGCATGATCCAAATACCTTAACAAAGATTGAAACTTCATGGGACAACGGCCTGTCAAACAGTTTCTCTGTGGTACGGTCCACTTGGTACACTCTGGAACATTCCAGAACAGAGTGGCGTTCCTCACTGCTGCAGTCCAGCTTCTACCCCCTTGATTTTCCATCTCTCCTCCCTTTTCCTGAGATTATTGTCTTTGCCAACATCTGTGACAGATGCTCCTTCTCCTACGGGGACCTCTCACCCATGCCACCCCTTCCTAACTTTCCTGGTGAGCTGAGCTGTTCTGCTTCCTTTTCCAGACTTATCCTTATGCCTGGCTTACTACTGTACCACCTCAGTACTGTAATACGTGCTCCTCTCCTGCTCCTTCCTTATCAGCTTCCTTGACAATAAGACCCATGAGCATATCAGGCCTCGCTCAGCTACAAGTGACTCAACCTAGTGCAAATGTACTAACCGCAAAGGGAGAACCCGTTTACTTTTAGGACCACTGGTTCCAGACGTAGCTGGATCCAGCCACTCAGCAACGCCTCTGGGGTTTGGTTTCTGCTTTTGAGTTCTGTTTTCATCAGTGTTAGCCTTCCTCAGCTGGAGACTGTATGTGGAAGCCCTGAGCACGCCAGGTTCCACCTTCCTCACAGCTGACATTCCCACTGAGAAAGACCTGCCTTGTTTTGTAGCTGAAGGATTATTATAGAAAGAGAAAATGGAAGAGTCTGGAACAAGGCAGATACAGAAAGACAAATTCACATTTTCTGTCATTTGTGGATATTAACTTTGACTATGCACACACACACACACACACATACACACACACACACACACACACACACACACACACACACACACACACACACACGTGCTCATTTGAAATACTCACATAGTCCAGGAAATTGTTAATGGGCCAATGAGGTGACCAGTAAAGGCTCAGTAAAGGCCCTTGTTTCTCCCAATACAACATTTAGAACATTAATTACTTACTCAATAAATGGAACATGAAGAGAGTAAGGAAGATTGTTAGTTATTGGGAATTATTTCTCAACAAGTATCGCATAGTATCATCATTTTCTTTTCTTAAAAAAGATCTAGTGTGTGTGTCTGTATGTGTCTGTGTGTGTGTGTGTGTGTGTGTGTGAGAGAGAGAGAGAGAGAGAGAGAGAGAGAGAGAGAGAGAGAGAGAGAGAGAGAAGACAGACAGATAGAGAGCAGCTGTGAACCCTGATGTGCTCAGAACCAAATTCTTGTCTTCTGCAAGAGTAAGCTCTCTTAACCCCTTAGCTATCTCTGCAGCCCCTGAGCCAGCCTTTTTCTAGACAGTTTTCCTGGCCTTATCTTTGACCATCCAATAGGGCTGCACTCATCACTCATGAGTCTGACTTAATGTCTTATAGGAGACACTGGATGCAGAATCCTTTCGAGGGGTCCAGCAAGGCAGCAATGACCATCTGTAGTGACAGAGTGATGAGTTCTAGACACAGAAATGCTGGTGGTACCCAGGCATGAAGGGATATAGGAGCTTGACTTTTATGGCATGAGCTCCTGCCATTCTGCAGTTAGCATTGAGAAAGGCAGTTGTCCCCTGGGCCAGAATGGGTGTCCCACCTGCCTGCTCCCTCCAGGTTTCTCTAACTTCAGTCTTCTTAAAGAGAAACTGAAGCCACAGGATCACCAAGAAAGAAGCATCTAGAATCTGCAGAAAAACCAGCAGGTCTCCTGGAGGACTGGTGACTAGGTTGTATTCCTGCAAAGCATATTGTTGATTTAGTGTTAGCGTATTGATCATTGCTAACTGATGTTAATTATTACTAAGCAGTTACTGAGTCCAAGTGTAATGGGCTTTTGGCCAGTTTAGAATTCTATGGTAGTTAACAAGTACCAGAACATGGTTAGATGTTAGGAGTAAGTTCTGTCGATGGCACAATAGTCCACAGGCACCTATTACATATCTTATGAAGCTCTAGAAGATAGGTCCTCCAAACACAAAGAGGCAATAAAGCCTATCATCACACTCTGCCACCTGCTTTGGTTGGCCCACTGGCCCATGAACTAAGAATGGTCTTTATATTTTGAAGTGGTTAAATCGGAACACTTTTTTTACATGACGCGTACATGTCATTCAAATGTCAAGGTCTATAAATAGAAGTTTACATGAACCCAGCTTCTCCTGTTTGCTTGCATCTCTGTACTTACCTGCGCCACAGTGCAAGAGCTGAAGCTGAAGGACCTGCAGGAGGTGGGCACTTGGCCTCTACACTCTGCATTTTATTGTTGTGGCAAATGCCCGAGATGAACAGTTTAAAGGAAGAAAGGTTTATTGGGCTCACGGTGTCATTGCTTCTGGGTCATGGTGTGAGACCAGGCATCCTGGTGGGGAGCATGGAGTGGGCCAAAGCTGCTCCTCTTATGGTGGACAGGAAGGGAGAGAGAGAGAGAGAGAGACAGAGAGAGAGAGAGAGAGAGAGAGAGAGAGAGAGAGAGAGAGAGACAGACAGAGAGACAGAGAGAGACAGAGAGACAGAGAAACAGAGAGAGACAGAGAGAAACAGAAAGAGATACAAACACAGAGACATGAAGAGAGAGAGAGTAGCTGGAAGTTTTTCTGTGTCCCTCCTGGCCCATGGTCAGGACAAATCTCTCTCACCCACCAGTCCTGCAGCCGTCTGGACCCAAGTACACACAGAGGCTTAGATTGTTTACAAACTGTATGGCCATTAGCTCAAGCTTATTACTGACTAGCTCTTACACTTAAATTAACCCATAATTCTTATTTATGTTTAGCCATGTGGCTTGGTACCTTTTCTCAGTTCTGTCTTCACATCTTGCTTCCTCTGTGTCTGGCTGGTGACTCCTGACTCAGCCTTCCTCTTCCCAGAATTCTTCTGGTCTGCTTATCCTGCCTATATTTCCTGCCTGCCTACTGGCCAATCAGCATTTTATTTATCAACCAATCAGAGCAACACATTCACAGCATACAGAGCAACATCACCCATCAGTTCCCCTTTTCTTTCTATTTAAAAGGAAGGTTTTAACTTTAACCTAGTAAAATTACATATAACAAAAACAGTTATCAAGCAAGAATTACAGTTACACAGAAAGAGAGAGAGAGAGAGACAAGATATACCCCTCAGAAATGATCCTCTCCTTTCAACAAGGTCCTACCTTCCACAGTTTCTACTGTGTCCCCAATAGTCCATACAATTATGAACCCGTTCGTTTATTTTAGTTGATTGACCCTCCTACGGCACTGGGGAATCGCATGAGTCTGTTGGAGGTAGGGAGGTAGTTCATATTCAAATCTATGTTCTAGAACCTTCTCAGGCTCTGTGTTGATTGGCCTAAGGTGCACATTGGGCAGAGTGGCTATGAAAGAGACCTCCTGTACGCTAATCCCCGTCTTAACGGCTACTGCTCTCTCTGTGTGGCAGGCCTCCTCCCAATTAAATGCTCACACAGTGCCTGTGAATTCAGATCACAAACTGTGGCTCACAAGAAATGTAATTTTATTTTCTGTGACACAACTTGGTTTTGGCTTAGAATTGTCTTTCAGTGATGAGGTAAAGAGTTACCAGGATTTTTTGAGCCTATTCTCATTTCTCTCGGGGCAATATTTAAATTTCTGGGGATGAAACACCTGGTCTTGGTGGTCAGTGTTTCATGCTGACCCTCACTGAAGGACACAGGGCTGGGTTAGGTCCTCATGCACAGCTTGGTGGCTTCCACCTTGTCTCTGCCACCAGACAGGCATTGTTGGGGCTGTTCTGCCCATACCACAGTGCTGACTATGAATATGCCTCAGGATTGTGGAGGGTATAACCTCAGCAGATGCTGAATCCAGCAACTTTCAGATTGACAGTTCTGATGCGGCAGACCTGAGTCAGGTTACAAAAGTGCCTTCAAATGACTCCCAGTGACATTCTGCTATACTCATAGATCAATGTCTTGCTCAGCCACCATCAGAGAAGCTCCCTCCTGCAGCAGATGGGAACAAATACTGAGACCCACAGCCAGACATTACGCACACACACACATACACACACACACACACACACACACACACACACACACACACACACACACAGAGAGAGAGAGAGAGAGAGAGAGAGAGAGAGAGAGAGAGAGAGAGAGAGAGAGAGAGAGAGAGAGAGACCTTAGGACACTCAGCCCTAAACAGGATGTCTTCATCAACTCCCTTCCCTCAGGGCTCAGGAAAAATGTGGAAGTGGAGGAAGAAAGAGTGTGAGAGCCAGAGGGGATGGAGGATGCAGAGAAAACAAAGCCCTCAAACTCAACATGATAAAGGCACATATGAGCTCACAGAGACTGAAGCAGCATGCACAGGGTCTTTCTGTATAGATTATGGCTTCCAGTTTAGTGTTTTTATGGGGTTCCTGAGTGTGTAAAAGAGTGGGTCTCTGTTTCTTGTGCCTTCTCCTGGGCTCTTTTCCTTCTGTTTGTTTTGTCCAACTCCATTGTGTTAGTTTTTTTTAAATCTTACTATATTTTATTTTGTTTTATTTTATTATTATCCCTTAGAAGCCTATTTTCTAAAGAGAGACAGAAAAGGAGTGGATTCTGATGGGAGGGGAAGTGGGGAGGAACTGGGAGGAGTAGGGGGAGAGAAAACTGTAGTCAGGATACATCGTGTGAGGAAAAAAAAATCTGTTTCCAATAAAAGGAAATTAGGGAAAGAAAGCAAAGCCAATGAAAACGGATTTCTACCCACCATGGAAAGGAGGTGTGCATCTGATTTCCTATCAAAGTTCATTTTTTCTTAAAAGACAGGATCTCACTTGGCATTCTAGGCTTGCTTCAAATTCAGAATCCTCCTGCCTCAGCCTTCAGAGTACTGGGATCACAGGCATGAGCCATCACAGGCAGCTCAAGTATGATTTCTTTGCTTTGTACATCTCTACACATGAAAACCAACCTTTCAGCCCAGAACAAATTTGTTTTCTGTTGAAACTGCAACTCCCATTAAGTTAGTCTTGATCTGGAGAGATGGCTCAGTGACTGAGAGCCCTTGCTGTTCTTCCAGACAACCTGGGTTCACTTTCCAGCATCATACCATGGCTCAAAGTCACTTGTAACTCCAGTTCCAGGGGGTCTGACACCCACTTCTGGCCTCTGTATCATGCACAGTATGCATCCCCCCCCCTGCCCCCAGACACACACAACTAAATAAATATTTTTCTTCCTTTTGTGGGAGGGTCTTATATATCCCAGACTGCCCTGCAACATAGACAAGGATGGGACTGAATCCCTAATCTTCTTACCTCTGCCTCCCAAGTATTGGGATTTTATGTGGGTACCTCCCTGTCTGGTTCATGTAGTGCTGAAGATTGAACCTTGGACTTTGTGCATGTCAAGTGAGCACTCTACCCATGGGACCACACCCCTAGCCTCAAATGCACATTTCTAACAAGTCCTCAGATGCCACTGCTGTTTCTGGGGTGGGTGGTGGGCCACACTTTGCGATCTACTGCCCCACACTGTGCTGGAGCTCCCGGAAACCAGAGGATCTGTTCAAGTCTGTCTAGCTCAACACCCCTGAATCTTGTCACCCTATTCCTCTCAGGTCTCCCACTTGTGTTCCAGAACCTTGCTCTTCAAAACAGAAAGAAATCCCTATGGGATTGTTACTGGGTGCGGTGTGGCTGGGTCTTTCCAGGCTCTTGACCTCTTATTCCAAAAGCTGAAAACTAAAGCTCAAACAGAATTTTCGAGAATCAGAGTAATTTTATTGGGAACAGTGCAGGTCACAGAGGGACACACTGTCAAGACTGACAGCAGGCCACTTGAGTGACAGTACTCCCAGGTCCTGGGCTACAGCTTGGCATCTTGTTTTCAGAGGCCTAAAGGAAGGAATGGCTGGTTACTAAACAGCGTGGTTTGAGTGCTTCTCTATTTTGATTGACAAGTTAGGTTATCTAACCCCTTCAGTACCGAGCATGTCCCTTCCCATAACGCATCTGATTTTAATCATAAACACACCCAACTGTGAATAAGCATAAGATGGTAAAAAAAAAGTCTCCATAAAGGTTACTAGAGGATACAGTTTTGCCTTACTGCACACACACCCAGTGCCAGTTCCGGCTGAATCAGCTCTTCTAGTCTCTGTACCTGGATACGTGGGGAATATACTTGAATAGAAACTGTCTGAGTATGATTGTTACCAGGGGTGGAAAAACTTAAACTGCTGTGGGGAGATGGGACTGTGTGTAGCTCTATGCAGGTGAAGGGCTTCTGAAATTGCTAGATGCATGGTTTGCAGATGTGTGTGTGTGTGTGTGTGTGTGTGTGTGTGTGTGTGTGTGTGTGTGTGTGTAATATGTGCAGATGAAGAAACGAGGCCTCCAAGTGCATTGCTACAATAGGGGAAGCCTGAGCAACCCCAAACTACTGGAGAGGTCCAGGCTAAGATATCTTCTGCCTTGCCTGACTTAGAATTATTGTGTTCATGCTTTCCCACTCTCTAGTGGGTGGTTCCCGACTGGAATCTCGGCAAGTTTAAACACTACTTATGTTTGGATTCACTCTCTTTCCCACCCCACAGGTTGATCTAATAGGCTGGGGTGGGGGGTAGCTGAGCCTTAGGGTTGCCTGAAGAAACAGTGTCCTAATGTACCAGGAGGGTTCAACAGCCCTGCTGGGGGCAGAGGTTTTCCAAGGATGGTCTGGAACTCGAGCATCAGCATCCCTTGGGACTTAGCAGAAAGAGATGTTCAGGTCCCACCTCATGTTCACTCAGCATTTCTGGTAGTGGGACCAGGAGTACGTCTGAACCAGCTGTGCTCTGATTCTGAAGTTCATCAAGGAGACACACTGTCTGGACCAGGAAGTAAGGCTCCCGGTGGTAGGGACATGGCAGTCACCCCTGCTGTTGGTCCTTTCCTTCTTGTGTCTAGGTTTTTAGTTTAGAGATGAGGGAAGACTGTCAAGCATCTCATCCTGCAGTGTGTTAACGGTGTCTTTACATACTCCTCTGAGGAGGAAGCAGGCTTTGAAACTTTAAGCCAGTGGTTCTCAACCTTCCTAATACTGCAGCCCTGTAACGCAGTTCCTCATGCTGTGGTGACCCCAATTATTTCATTGTAATTTTATAACTGTAACTTTGCTACTGTTATGAACCATAATGTAAATAGCTGATATGCAGGATATCCGATACGTAACTCCTGTGGGGGTTGCGACCCACAGGTTGAGAACCAATGCTTTAAGACCAGGCACACTATGACACTACAAACTCACCTCTGGCTGTGCCAACTGTTCCCATAAATGGTGACTATCCAGCTTCCCGGCTGTAGAAAAGGGCTGCTAGTCCAAAGAGGAACTGAGCTAGCAGGACATCTCGGTGGTGGGTAAAGGTGTCTGCAGCCAAACCCAAAGATCTGAATTCAGTCAATACGACCCACGAGGTGAAAGGAGAGAACCAACTCCTATAAGTTGTCCTTTGACCTCTACATGCACACGGTGGCATGTATGAACAACCCCCCTTTAATAAACTTTAAAAGGAGAGGATCCCCAAAAGCATTGTTTAATATACACACACATTTTTTTTTTTCTCCACAGTGCCCCATTCTGGGGAGGTTTAGGTATAAGGGAAGAGACCGAGGTTAAGAAATTTGTGATCTGCCTGGAGCTTACATTTCCAAGGGGTTTGGTGGGTTCAGAGTTTGATGTGTGAATCTCCCCACGTGCTCCAGCCTTTCCCATCCTCACAGCTGCTTCTTTTTGTTCCCAGGTCTGTGGGCTGTGGTCAACAACGCTGGCGTCCTCCAGTTGCCAATAGATGGGGAACTCATTCCCATGACCCACTATAGAAGATGCATGGCCGTGAACTTCTTTGGAGCAGTGGAGGTCACCAAGGTGTTTCTGCCTCTACTTAGAAAATCCAAGGGGCGGCTGGTGAATGTCAGCAGCATGGGAGGTGAGTCAGCTTGGTGGCACCTGGTCATGTGGTGCCTGACACAAGATGTGGGTCTTTGCATTCTTTGCAGGCTACACCCGAGAGCAAGGCGCACGAAAGCAGGGCTGGATCACCATGAGTCAGTAGGTGTACTCACGGTTGACCTTTCTCTCCTTTCAAATCCTCTCATGCGAAAGCGCTTCTCTACTTTCTGTTAATTACCGTGTTCATTGCTGGGGATTTGGGGACTCTCGGGTGTCTTCATACTGTGACTGCCGACACGTAAGCATCGTAGGGCGGCACAGCTCTGGGTGCAGGTGATTCTGGTGCTTCGAGCCGCTTGTCTTCAGTCTTCTCTGAACACAGCTCACTGCTATTTCCGTAAACTGGGAAAGTGAGAGACTCCACTCTGTGTGTAACTTGGGTGCCCCGGTCCATCCCCTAGGATTAGCCATGATGTTGTCCTCACCTTTGTTGCTTGGGTCCAGGGTCTGTCAACAACCTGGTGGTCTCCTATTCCATTTGCACACAGGAGTTCCCACAGGCCTTCCTCAGCTCCAGGAGACCTTCTGGGATATTTCTCAGGTTTCTTCATGGGGTGAGAAGGAAGTCAAACAGATTTGGGCTCTGGACTCCCAGTTCCTGCCTTCTGAGATGGACCCTAATCTCCCTGTTAGATTAGTTGGTTCTAAGTAAAGTTTATAAAAATAAAAAGTCCAACTAGGTTTCTGGTATGTGTGTGTGTGAGTGTGTGTGTTGTAATGTGACCAGCTGTTCTAGTTTCTTTGGGGGGAGGTTTGTTTGTTTATTTATTTATGTATTTATTTTTATTTCTTAGACCGTTGTTACTATTTAGCACATTCCTTTTCCTGGCTTTAATTCAGTCACTTCCTTAAAATTAACTGCTCTGTGCCTTTGATTGAAGTCATTGATTGGCCCAAGGCATAAGCACAGGAAAGAGAGAGGGCTGAAAGGGGATTATGGGGGAAGAAAAAAAACTGATTCCTGATTAAGAGCAATTATTATTTACCTTCTGTGAGAAAAACCAAATTTATCTCCAGATGTTGGCTACTTTTCACACACCAATGAATCTAAAGGAATCCCACTTATAACATCTTTGTATGGTGTGTGTGTGTGTGTGTGTGTGTGTGTGTGTGTGTGTGTGTGTGTGTGCATTCATGCCTATGTGTGTACACTTGCACATGCATATGGCGGTTGGAGATGGTTTCCACATTATTTTTGGACAGGATCCTTCCCTGAACCTGGTGCTCACTGATTTAGCTAGACTGGCCGGTCAGCAAACTTTACGGAATTTTAGTCTCTACCTTCCTAGCGCTGAGGAACGTGCCGTCATCATCATCATCCCTCCTCCTTTTTTTTTTTTTTTTAATTGAAGGGACTGGGTTTGAACCCGGGTCCTCATGCTTGCACAGTGCACAGTAAGCACTTCACCAGCTAAGCCATTTCCCCAGCCTCCAATCAAGATGCAGCACTTTACCTTTGTCTTTGTTCTGAACTTGGCCTTTATACTTTCAAATGCTTTGCAAACCTCACCTCCTCCACTGTCACGGTACCCTCTGGTACTTCTGGGAGAGCCTCACACAGTCCTTGACTCATCCATTCGGCAAATATTTACTGAAGTGACTGGTCGTTGCCTTTTCCTTGGCCCGTTGACCAGGCTGCTTTTCTCTTTGCTGTCTTTGTTCTTAATTCAGGAGTTCCCTTTATTCCTAAGAGTTTCCTTCAGTGGTCTCCGACATAGAGTATTTGCTGTAGACCAGGAAATAGCATCAATAAAGAGGTGAACCAATACAGTTGGGTCTTGTGGTGCCTGCATGTAATTCCAGCACCAGGGAGGCGGAGGCAGGAGGATAACGAGCTCACACTGAACTTAAATCACCTCTATAGTCAGCTTTGGTATCATAATGGTTCAAAATCAAAATAAGGGCCTGGCGAGGTGGGCTCAGTCAGTGAAATGCTTGTCTTATAGTCATGAAGACCTGAGTTCGATCCTCAGACCCTGTATGAAAAAGCCAGGTGTGGTGTCGTCACCCTTATAACCCCAGCACAGGGTAGGTGGGACAGGTGGATTCTGAGGCTTACTGGCCAGCTAGCATACTCTCCTCGATAAGTTCCAGGCCTGTGAGAAATGCTGTCTCACCAAAAAACAAAAAATGAAAAAAAAAAATTCACCTGAGGAATGACGCTTGAGGCTGGCCTCTGGCCTCTATGTACATCTGTACACATGTGTACCTGCAGACACATGAACACGCTCACACATGTGCACATGCACACATATGCACAAAACAAAAAGAAAAAGAAATGCCAACTGGTGAATGAGTGAAAAATGAAGAATGGATGAGAGGTGGCAATTTAAAAACTTGTAATGGGGGCTGAAGAGATGGCTCCGTGACTCAGAGTCTTCACTGCTCTTGAGAGGACAAGAGTTCAACTCCCAGCACCCATGTAGGGCAGCTCACACCCAGCTGTAACTGTAGCTCCAGGGGATCCGACATCCCCTCTGGCCTCCACAGGTACCACACTCAGCTCCACATACCCACACACATACACATAATTTTAAAAGAAAAGAAAATCTTTTAAAAGAAGGAGCCTACAACCCGCAGGCTGTTCCTCTGCATGTCTTCTGCTTGGCCTCTGCCACGCTGATGGTCAGAAGTTCTTCCTGTTGCCATAGCTTTCCAGATGTTAAAATGGACCAGTTGACGGTCAGAAGTTCTCACTGTTGTCATAGCTTTCCAGATGTTAAAGTGTACCCTGCCTCTCGCTCCCGTTCTCAACCTCCGGTTACGTGAATTTGCAGCCAGCTTTACCATGACATTCTCTCATGATCAGTACCAGGTCCTTGGGTCTGAAATCAAACGCACTGTCAGCCTCTTGAGCTTGCTCTCCCACCAACCCTCTGCTCTGCAGGCCTTTCACGTTTCCAAGCACAGAGCCCTCTTGGCTTTGTTCCTCCCTGAGGCTCGACCAGATGGAGGAAGTGTTCCTTCCTCAAGTCCAGCTCTGAAGGCTGAGTCTCAGAGAAACTCTAGAAAGAAGCACATTTGTGGGACACAAGAGCCACCCAGGACACGGTGTCAAGGTCGGAGCATAGCAGGAAGTCAGAAGACGGGAGGCAAATGTGCATGGCAGGGCGCGGGGGCGGGGCCGTAAGAAGACAGAAATGCAGCTTCCCGAAGACCCATCTCCCTCTGTGTGAATTTGCTGAGCCGCCAGAACAAGAGCATGCCTGAAGACTGGGTGAAGGCTGACGGGCGGCTTAGACAGCAGGCGTGTTTTTCTCACCATTCTGGAGACCGGAAGTCCAAGATAAAGGGGTCCGCAGTGTTGGTTTCTCATTGGGTTTCTCTTGTTGGCTTTGAAGGCCCCTTTGTCATGTGCCCTTTGCATGTGTTCCTGTCTGAATGCCTGCCTTCCCAGTGCCTCCTCTTGTGTGGATGCCACAGGAGTTAGGGACCTATCTCATCCTAGTGGTCTCTGTAAATGCCCATGACACTGAGAGTCACGGGTTCAGTCCACGAGGTTTTTTGGAAAAGGGCTCAAAATTTCATCTGCAATGCATTAATGAGGAACAAAGGAATTCAGCAGAAGCCACAAAGAGGAATGCTTTGGACCATCATGGAGAATTTTGTGACATAATAAAAAATATTTTTGTGGAAAAAAATAGCTAGCTTAGGGCAAGGGAAATAGCCTTGTCTGTAAAGTTTATGCTATGCAAATTTAAGGATGTGTTTGGATCCTCAGAACCAGGGTGAGAAACCAGCTCTGTTCCCATAATCCTAACACTAGGGAGACTGAGACGGGCGGACACCTGAAGCCCATCTGCTGGCCAGACTAGATGAATGGGTATTGTGGATGATTGATTGATAAATGAAACACTGATTGGCCAGTAGCCAGGCAGGAAGTATAGGTGGGACTAGCAGAGAGGAGAAGTGAGAGAACAGGAAGGCAGAGAGGAGGAGATGCCAGCCTGCCGTCCAGGGAGCATCATGTAAAGGCAGCAGGTAAAGCCACGGAACACGTGGCGACATATAGATTAACAGAAATGGGCTGAGTATAAGAGTAAGAGCTAGACAATGGTAGGCCTGAGCTAATGGCTGAGCAGTTTAAATAATATAAACGTCTGAATGTTTAGTTTATAAATGGGCTACGGGACTGCCGGGGATTGGCGGGACCTGGAGAGAAAAACTCTAGCTACAAATGGGTGAGCTCCAGATTGAAGGAGACCTTGTCTCAAAAAAATAAGGTGAAGGAGAAATGGAGGAGACCCCAGTGTCGACCTCTGGCTTCTACATGCACACACACTTGTGTGTAGTGTGTACATATTTCCACTCATGTGTATAATTACCCATATAACACATACATACAGAACACACACACACACACACACACACACACACACACACACACACAGGGGGAGAGAGAGAGAGAGAGAGAGAGAGAGAGAGAGAGAGAGAGAGAGAGAGAGATAGAGAGAAAGGACAATTAGGTTTACACAAGAATCAGGGAAGCTAAAGAACCTATAAAAGGGGCTAAAGAGATGGCTCAATGGTTAAAGCACTTACTGCTTTTGTACAAGGCCTGAGTTTGATTCCCAGCTCCCACACAGTGAGTCACAACCCCCTGTAACTCCACCTCCAGGGGAATTTGACATCCTCTTCTTACCTCTGCAGGTTTCTGTGTGCACAGGGTGCACAGAAATTCACAGAGGCACAAACACATACACAAATAAATAGAAAAATATACATACATACACATAGGGTTTTTTTTTAAAGATAACCCATAATCTACACACCCACAGGAGTCACCATTTAGCACGTCACCAACTTGATGATGCAGCTCTAGGCAAAACTGATACAAAAGTGGGTTTGCTACTGGTTTCTTGCTTTGAAGCAGAGAGAATCAGAGAACTAGTTACCAGTGTCTGCTCTCCAAAAGGAATACTGGCTATCTGGACCTACCAGACTGTCTGGAGTCTGAAATCCCTGTTTACCTTTGTG